TGGGACCTGAAAGAAAGCTCTTAACTAAGGAAGGGGCTTGGACTGTAAGACAACATTGCGGTGCAAGGAAATGAAGATGATAGCCTGCCTTTCCACCTATATTTTGACCCTTTACATTGCAAATTCTTTAACATAGAACCACAGTTACTGCTTGTAAGGTATGGTCCCAGAATGATGGGGAGTGTTTGAGTTGGAAAGGACCTTTAAAGGTCATCTAGTCCAACCCCCTGCAATGAGCAGGGACATTTTCAACTAGATCAGGTTGCTCACAGCCCTGTCCATCCTGACCTTGAACATTGCCAGGGATGGGGCATCTACCACCTCTCCGGGCAACCTGTTCCAGTGTTTCACCACCCTCATGGTAAAAATTTTCTTCCTTCTATCTAGTTTAATTCTGCCCTCTTTTAGTTTAATACCATTATCCTTTGTCCTATCGCAACAGGCCCTGCTAAAAAGTTTGTCCCCACCTTTCTTATAGGCCCCCTAAGGCCACTGATGATGATGAGGTATGAAGCTAAAGGCTGGTGAAATTAGTGCCTGTGGTTGCAGTCTGTAAATACATTACTTGGACATTCAAGTGTCATGGATACACACTATTTCTGGATCTAGACTACAAAAATACTAAGGGCACTCTGACTAGGTGCCTTTATTAGATTCATATATTTGAAAAAAGGAACAAATGTTATGAATTGATTTTTAAGAAATATGAAAGATAATATCCAGAAAGCTCAAAAGTTAGTCCCCTTTCTAAGCTGTGGATCTCTAGTCTCATATTGTCACACTGCAGGGCAAAGCAGCTGAGGCACTCTCATACTTACATACTGCTGTCTTGCGAATGCGTAAAATCTACTTCTCCATGCTTACAGACAGGGTTGCTTAAGTAAACTTTCATTTTACCTGTCATAATTCAATTTCATGCAGGATCTCTTCAATTGTTCCTGAATAGTGTGCTTTCCACAATAAGAAGCTGAATTCTTACCTCATTTCATAGAACTATGCAATAATTTATAGCAGGAGGGACATCAAGACCCTTTCGGTGCTAGTTGGGGAGTCAGGGGGAGATTCTGAGTTCCCCGAGTTTTACTATAATTTTATATACTTTTATGCTAGCCATCTGGGGTTAACTGTGTTTGGAGGAAAAAACCCCAAAACAAAACCTAACATTAAAATCCAAGGTGCTACTCTAACAAAAAATGCACAGACTGGAATTAAAATCCTTATTAGCAATGAGAGGCAGAAACAAGTCCAACATAGCTTTTGAAACGTAGAGCCTTTAGGTCACCTCCGCTATGATACATATAATTAAAGGCAGCTGCAGTTTCCCAGGTATGTTGTCTCATAGCTGCACTCGATGTCTAGTGCCCCCATGGCTGTGGTGAACATCTAGCAGCTTGTGATGAGTAACCAACAGATACGCTTGCACGTGATCTCTTGATGTAAAAGTTCCATGGCTTTAACACACACGCGACTGCAGCTGTGGAACAAAACGCTCATGTTGGTAACACCAACAGACTGATACCCCTCCATCTATGGACACTGACGGGTAACACCTCACTTAATTACGGACAGAGAGAGATGCCAGGAAGGTAGTAGGTGCATGTGAGTGTTGAAAAGGCGTAGAGATCTTCAGTGGAAAGAGACACCAAGCACGTGATACAGTCCACTGCGTTACACAGGCACAGCACGAAGGCTCTTCAGAAGGACTTTGGGGCCACAGATTAAAAAGTGAACCAGAACATCCGTGTGGCTGACTTCCTTTCAAATAAAACAACAACACAAAATTCAGCATCAGCAGCTAAAGACTCATTTGAAAAACTGCTGTTATTCTCATGTTAAAATAACAACAATAAAAAATCCCCCAAACTCAGTGCAGCACATGTGTGGGGACTGTTCTGTTTATTCCCAA